GGTTTCTCCTCCGGTTTGGGTTCAGGTCTTCCCCAGTGTCTTGATCAACATCCTACATTAGATTGATTAATCCATCAGCTCTACCTATATTGCACTTATCTATTAACACCGGTGCTTCCTCTAATGTAAGAGAAAAAGCTGAGTACATTTCTCAGAGAGACTCCTGCCAATGACAACCCATACACAGAAAATGCTATTTTGCGTGCTTTTTTTCCAGCTGGCATTTTGAGGTAAGTACACCCCAAGGCCTGGAACACTCTCCTCTGCCTTGGCAATGGCAGTAATGTCATTTAAAATGAAATGTTTCTCTCATAACTGAAAAAGGAAGACAAACATAGCAACAGCTGGAGGTTGGCCTTGTCACTTGACATCAGGTCAAAAAATTGTTAGGAATATTACATCAAAACCAAGAACCTACAGAAAATGAGTAAAACGTAATAGGCCACTTAGTAACTCAATTATTTCAACTCCCACTTGAAGTGTTATGTGCTCGCTTTCATCAAAAAGACCAAAAAATAACAAAAAGAGGCATAATGTTCAAAAATTTTGGCACCATAAACTCTATTTTAAGCATTACAGAATGTCTTCCATACCTTCATGCTCAGGCTGGTTTTGGATCCAGTAAAGGATAACACTTTGACTTTTACTCTTTGTCCTTTGCTCACAACATCGGCAACATTGGCAACCCGTCCTTCTCTTCGAAGCTCCGAGATGTGGACCAAGCCCTCCCAACGCTTCCTGTAGGTGAAACAGAGGGGCATGAGAGACATCGTACATCACCACTCCAACAATCCTTCAGATCATTCAGAGCCTGGATCAAAATATTTTATTGTCAACTGATTGTTTGTGTATGTTCATAAACTGGTTTTTATAAAGGAGACCGTTCTCTGCTGTCAGATTTATTTTTCTGAAACAGACCTTCCTTTTGGCATGAAAACCTAGCATGCTTTGTTGTAGCCTCATAACCTCTTTAAGATACTAGCAGAAAAGAGAGCTCAGAAGGAATAATACCAGATTTATTGCGAACAGAAGGTACCTTAGTCCTTCCAGCTGCACGAAGCATCCAAATTGCATGATACTTGTGACTTTGCCATTGTAAATATCTCCGATGGAAGGCTCCTCAGGTGGCGGGCGGTCTATGTGCTTGTCTCTCCATCTCTCACTGCTCTTCTCAATGTACTTTTCTCGATCCTTACGGTCCCTACTGGGACTCCGACTTCTGCTCCTTGACCGATATCTGGATCGGTTCCTGTTCCTATCCCGAGTCCTAGAACGAGACCTAGAGCGAGATCTGTGCCTCCGCTTCCTGTCCCTGCTACGACTTCGGCTCCTTCTCCTTTTCTTTCCCCTAAAAACAAACATTACATATTTGCAGTGAAGTTTAACGTAAGAACAGAGCCATTTGGCAATACCAACAGCCAATTCTCATCCCCCCGAAGGCATACGAGAAACCTACCGGTGGTCGCTGCTCCTTTGCTTGCCTTGCCTGTCTGCACTAGGCATCAGAGCTTCAAGTTCTTTAAGTGCATCAGCTGCCACTTTCACATCATCTTCATCCAACATATTCTGCAAGGACAGAGAACCTGTAAGGCAGCTGATAAAAAGTCTGTCACGGAGAACTGATTTGCAGAAAGGATCACCACGTGCACATCGATTTAGTAGCAATGTAAGATAAAAAAAGATCAGACAGAATACATGATATTGAGACAATTCTGCTTTTATACAAAAGACAGCTTCATCTCAACACCTCAAATTATTACAGAAATACAAAATGCAAGTCCCACGTAGCATCTGAATATCCACAATTTTTTATCTAGTTTGTAATCCATCATTACTTTGAAATTTATGTAAGAAAGGACAGGCTACACGTTTCATGTCCTAAGAGCCTCATCTTCCAAGCATTCTGCAGAACAGCATCAGCGTGGCAATTGCTGTAACAGCTACTCCTGATAACTACATGCAGTAATACCAGCCTTCTGCCTCTCCTGTGTTTCATTTCTCATAGTCTGCTTTTATCCAGGCATTAGCAGGAGATGCTCATGTTAACATGAAAAAAACTTGACATGAAGAGAAACAGAAAAAAAATAATAATTATGTTTTCACAAAAGAAATCTGAAATTATGACCTTACCCTGATGTTGGGATTGTCTGGCCTGCAAAGGGCTGGAAACAATTCCTTCAACTTTTCCTTCTCCGATTTGGGTTTGGCGACTGTCTCTGATTTTGAGATTTAAAACAAAAAACAAACAAAACACCCCAAAACTCAGAAGAGCTAGATCGATTCACTCTTGATTTTCCTGTAATTGAATATAAAGTTTAACTTCCATCTCAACACAAAGGTTGATATGGATTTTACAGAGATTCAGTTCAAAAATTACAACAGTACCTTCCTACAAATGAAATGCTCATTATTAATGAATCTGTGAAATAGATAAGTGCGTGCTTTCTATGTTTTCAGTGCCTAAACAGCTTTGCTAACCTACTGCTAACACCAGAGAAGAGAGACCCCCATCACAACAAGAAGACACAAAGTCTTGCTTTACAAAACTAGAACAAAAATTACATCAATCTCAAACATGGCCAAAACCTACAAAAGACTAAGAGTTTTGGTTTTTTTACACTGAACCAGTAAGAGTGACAGGATTACGCATACCTTTGCTTGTAGATGGCTTTGGCGGAGGCCGCATTGTCTGTATGAGACGTAGCAGGTTACTAATAAGGGAATCCTGAAAAATTTAATAAAATACTTTAATCTAAGAAATTACTATAACGCTGTTCTTCATTATCAGAAGGCACAAGTGAGGGTTTATTAGCAGGACAAAAGAAAAAGCTCAATTCTGAAGATGCAGGTTCATTTTTAGAAAGTATCATCAGACTTCATCTACGTCCTAAAAAGGTGTAAGTTGAATCTGAAAATGATCATGATAATTCTATTTAAGTGACTTTCCTGCTTCACCCATTCAATAAAACTGCAGTTATTTCTGAGGAACTCGGCATCACGAACCCAGCATCTATGCATCATAAAAAGGCTTACGACAACGTTTGCCTTCGTGAAATTCATGAATGTTCCTTCCACATTTTATACCCTCAATAAGACAATAAACAGGTCAAGTCCTCAGAAAGGATGCTTTACAAAAACTACCAGTCTTTTTAAAAAAGGAGGAAAGGAGATGCTTGGCTTGATGAGACAGGAATACTCAAAAGCTAATTAGAATCATAGAATCATTTAAAATTAAATCTGTCCACTACTAAACCCTATCTCTAAGCACCTCGTCTGCCCAGCTTTTAAATCCCTCCAGGGACAGGGACTCAACCACTTCCCTGGGCAGCCCCTTCCAGTGCTTGACAACCCTTTCAGTGAAGAAATTTTTCCTAATGTCCAATCTAAACCTTCCCTGACACAACTTGAGGCCATTTCCTCTTGTCCTAAATTAATGCATAGTCCTCATTAGTGCATAGTCTTCCAATGCCAATTATCACCAAACAATAATCGCTCCTCACAGCTCTCTCTTTAAAACTCTCTATAAAATACACCAGGACAAGAAGAACAGGCAAATAACACTCAGATCCCACTTACAGTGAACTCTGCACCATTCTTTAGAAGAACCGCTTTAAAGGTGTCAAACGTAGTATTTTTCTCAGCAAGGTTTATCACAAACTCGGCTGCGAGGAAAAAGGAGGAAGCAAATTAGAACAAATAATTAAAAGGCAGCGTAGGTAGTTCGGATTGGGGTGAAAGCTGTTCTCCAGGGAAGGCAGCGACCCGCCCG